TGATTTTTCTGGCACTTAGATGCCAAAAATATGCTGTATACTATCATACATTTGATATGTACAGAAATAGCTACAAAAATATTTGGGTGCACTGGTGCACCCACAGAAAGAAATTGGGTGCACAGCTCCAATTCTTGGTGCACTAAGGTGCACATGCACCCAGTATTTCGAGCCCTCAAGTGTGTCATCCATACTTCCTAAATCCTGAGTTCTTGGTGCCGGTAAAATTTATATGTTGTAAAGTGAACATGAGACATAGTAAATACGTGAGTTCACTGTATTACTACTTTGTGAAAGTTTCAGAGAGTGGGCCAATTGTTATGAAAAATGAGCATACACAGGGGGTTTTCTAAACAGGGGAACAGGCCTGGTGCCCTCATGCTCCCACCACATGTGCCCTCCTACCCTTGAGAGCAGATATGTGACAAGCGGAAAATTTGGATTGACCAGTGATGCTACTAAAACCACATGTGGTAAGCTACTGTCTAACAATAATATCCCCTTCATCCCTAGGCCTAAGCCTTAGAATGTCCCAATTTTCTTTCAAAACTCCTAAGGCCACACCAATTTAATTTGCTGGTTAACGGATTTTTCTAGCAAAATAATGGAGCGGGCGGGCGAAAAATAAAAACAGACCTAGGCATCCTATTATGGCCCAAAATGGTACAATGATAGGAGCCATGAAGTCAACACACCAGGCTGGTTCAAAATTTAAACAATGAATTTTGAACTTTTAATGATACCACTGCATTGATAGATGGAATAACTGTAACAATTAGGAAGAAAAGGACTGTTTTCAACTGTTCAGGGCAAAATATGCGCATTTTGCAGTTGATTCTGAATTTTTTTTCTTTGCAAATCAGAAAAAATGAAGCGGGCAAATCCGTTAACCAAGAAGTTAAATTGGTGTGGCCCAAGTATGCTTTAAACAGTCACACATTATACACAATCTGTTTACGCCCACTAGTAGCACATGACTGTAGTAGTTGCACACATTACAGATGACTTTGATCAACTATTTTGGCAAAAAGACAAAAATGCAGGATCATGCATATGCCAACTTTGACAATCTGCAAAATGTTCTGCCTAATTGTGATTAATTTTGGTTGTCTTACCCACACAGTAACATACAATTGATTTCATACACCTGTTATGGACAGATGGGAGGAAACTGGAGTTAAAAAATCACTACTGTACCAAGTAGGATACCAGTAAAAGGTTTCCAATAATAACATAAATTAAATGATTGTATTCCTAGCTATTTAAGCCGGCCCTGTAGTGCAGTGTTTTTGATAGTGTCTGTCTTTCTGAAGTTTTGCTCCTCGTGACAGACAAAAATTTTGCTTGATCCAACATCTTTGACAGACAAGATATGAAACGAGTTGTCATTAAACTAAGCTTAGTCTATTGGCAAAATTTTCTTTTTAGGGGGTAAGATTTCCAAATTTTCCTGAGGGATCATATCCCCCTTTTAAGTTAGTATTTTCGAACTGGAGCTCAACATTTACATCAAACAAAATTGAGATGATGCAACAAGATTTCAGGCCGGCTAGAACACAGCTGTTATGTTACAAGACGTTCTGGAATCAGAAATTATTTTTCTCTCATCTCAAAAATCTGTCGGTCTGCAAATCGTATGTTGCAGGTAGGTATTCCAAACTTGTAGGTGTGTGGGTGTAAAAATTATTTGGCAAACATACGTTTGTGTACACCATTACCAAGATACAATCTATCAAATTTGCATGACAAGATGATCATCCCTCAGTTACCAGGTCCCCATTGATTTATACTATAGCAACCTGTTGCTACTGAACAATAATCTATGTGTTCAATGAGGCTTTACCAAATAATTGCTGAAACTGCTAGAAAAACAGAAAGTCCTTGGCACTCTCTTTGTCCGATACATGTAGGTCAGCAAGTCATTTCAGCGTGCCCGATGAATTTGTCATGAAAAATTTATGACACATAACTTTAAATTCAGTATTTTCAGTTCGAAGTATACTGTAGAATTTTGCAGAAAGTAAACACTGTTTACTTTCTGCAAAATATGACATCTATAAGAGTACAGCATTGAATAAGAAACCTTATTTCTGTAATGCATTATTTTCATGATTTTCGAGACAAACATTCTTCGTAAAATGTCACATCACAAATATGTATTCTGTGTATTAGTATATTTGTATTAAGGGGGGCTTGCCACACTGTTTTTTTGCTGTATGTACATCTCTTTGATAAACGAATAAATAAATAAAAAAAAATACTGTAGAATTGAGAAACAGTCAGATACAAACTTAGAACACACACTCAGTCACGCATTCACTAAAAATAAAACTTTGGCTTGGTTAGTATATACTCAGTAGATTCAGTGTTTATTTCAACTTTCTAGAATACCGCTTGATTTTTGGAAGCCCATCTGTTTCTGACGTCATGTCATAAATAATGATGGAATAACAATAATTACAGACACCAGGTTAAATGACACATGTCAAATAAACACAACATGGTCAGTCACGCAACATATCCATCAACTAGAAAGGCCGACATTTGCTAGGGAGCAAATGCAGCAGATGGCTTCACTTCATCCCCCGTACAAAAAATGGACCTGTCTACCTCCCGCACAAATGGACTGTTCCTATAAATCACCCCTGTCTAAAATGTAAAGTGTCGCAATAGTCTATACCCCAATGCAACAATGGAATCTTCTAACGCCTTCTGCTATAGAACCAGTGTCTATAGAACTGTCAGTTGGGGACAAATAAAATTCCAGCCAAAAATAAAATACTACTAAACCACAGGTATACAAAGCTGGTATCCTGAATTTGCGGCAGTACATAGCAACATACATGTATACGACAAGCCGACACATGCTAGCCTTTTGCGGAATTTATAAATCGGCGCTGTACGTGTGTACTGGGGTCTTGAGTCGTGGAGCTTTGGTAGCCTGGGTGCCTTCCCCGAGAAAGCTAGAGGTACCACCAGCTCCATATTGTCGCTAACTACCCAGGCCTAAGAGCCAGACCTCAGAGGACGTGATCTTTTTTTTTTTTTTGAGAACAGGCAAAAATCAATGCGCACGCGGATGTCATCCATAAAATTAAGTCTAAGGTAAATAAAAGTATTCTAAAGGGCTGAATCTGAATAGTGAACACTATAGTCTAAGAATTTGGTGCCAAGCTACCCTTAGGTTGAATTTCGGGTCATTTGGTTTTCGTGGTGTGGTGACGCCATAAAAATGTTTTACAATTTTCAGTATCATGGTTCAACGTCTTCTTGGCTGTGTGACAAGGTAGTGTGAGGACACTTAAGTGCATATAAGGACACTGATACTGTAAGCCTTTAAGCCACAATTTAGTTTAGTGTGGATGAAGGAAACAATTGAAAAGAAGACGAACTCAGATCAAAAATTGAATCTTGCACATTAGAGACTACAAACTAAAGTAAACCCCACACACTTGAATCAAATTGCACACCCACAAAATACTTTCAAACACAGGGATATGGTAAGTAGGAATGACTCATATGCAACGATACACGTATTAATGTAAATGATGCTCTTGTAAGTTGAATTGCATATGGATTGGATGCGGCTCAATTTTCTGGTATGACGTCAATTAAGAATGCCGCGGTATGGACAAAGGTTGGTTTGACGTACATGAGGTGTATGTCGGAGGTAGGATGTAGGTGTTAGACGTCACTTCCGACATGCTGTCCATATTGAATGCAGGGCTCTATCCTGAACCCGTTTTTCCGTCAATAACAGGAACTTAGCAGCATGTGCCGGAAATTTTTTTACACCAATACGTCAACCTTGATAAACAGAATTAACAAAAATCATGGAAAAAAAAAAAATACATCCAAAGGACCACCAACAAACACTGACTCAACCCCATGATTTGCCCCTCAAAATGTTTTAAAGGCTTGAAAATTTAAAATTTGCCCTGAACCCCCCTTACATGGCAAGCACTCTCCCCCAGGTCCAATCATGAACCTGGGCTAACAAAAAAAAAAAAAGCTTGCTAGAGCCCTGAATGAATGTAGCATGCATGTCCAGGAAAATTGAAAATTATAAGAGCACAGTTGTAATCATTTTCTACAATTTGTAAAATTGGCTGGAGCCAGAATTCTACCGCAAGGACAAAATATATTAGATGCACAAGCTATATATATATGAGCTATGGTTTTGGACAAAAAGCAAATTGAACATGAATTCTATAAGGCAGGCCTGCAGATTGCATTGCTAGCCCATGTCATGCAAATACCCATTTGGCAACCAAAATGGTTTGTTCGAATGTCCCAAAATTTCATTTTGCTACCACTTCTTGTAAATTTACGTTAGCTGAAAAATTATTGAATATTGAATTTACATGTGGTCTTTGGGAAGTAATATTTTCGTTTGTGTGTCGGTTCAAAAAGAACACCTAATGTACAATAATGGTAACTGAACAGATGTGCTTCATGTACATTGTGTAAGGCATCGAAATGAAATGTAATTATTTGGCAGACATATCAGTTATTACATGCAATTTGTACAACAGATGGATTAAGGTAGCATCTGCCATACAGTATATTCTCCAGATGTCAAAATACGCCCAAATAATTCTACATAAAACCTGTGGTCATACATACATGTAGACACACAATCAACTTTACCATACGGTATACATTTGTACATGTTCATTCTATACATTTGCTGGGGGCATGTGAGGGTAAGGCACTTTGTACATAGGTACTCTCACAGAGTGCATGTTATTACACTATAACCTTTCATAATACTTTTCTGGACTCTCTACGCTAACTTGTAAGCACAAAAACTCAAGTTCTACTTTATTTCATCATCAAAACTTCATTCAACAAATGGTACAGCTTCTTCAAGCTGATTTTTTGCATAATGCTGTATGTTTTAAAATAACAATTCCATTTTTGTTCCCAAGAATTTTGGCCACATTTCAAGGGGGTATTGGTTGATTAAAAAACAACAATATCTTTAAAATGGTACTTACTTGTCTTGGGAGTCCGAGAGCTTCCGCTTTCGCGCAAGCGGCGCCGTATCGGAGCTTCGTCCGCTCATCTTGTCTGGCTTTTCACATCAGAACCCCTGAGACATAATAAAAAAAACAGGATAAATTTCTTAATTTCTAAGAAGTTTTGATAATGAATTTACAATGAGCCTGACACAAAATTTACAAGAATTCTAGATTATATATCAATAGTGACTTCACTGACTTGATCGCACAAAATTTCTGACTACCTGGCATGGACTAAACATGGGATCGACTAATTCCAATCCACATTTACTGTATCATGATGATAGTGATAATGGTCATCAATCAAAATACTGACAATCAAAATGTATAAATGTTTATAGGTCCTCTATGTAATATTTGCATATAAAATTAACGTCATGAAAAAATTGTCAGTGAGGTCAAGCTGAATATTTTCTTCGCGTGAACAGCAAGTTTCTTGCATCTTATTTTTCACATTACTATCTTGACTATCTGTATGAAACGTAGAAAAATGAATTTGACATAATTTTTACACAAATTTCAGACCACCAATAATTGTGACCTCAGCTGACGCCATTTCTGCGTTAGTTGCAGACCACGTGTACATGTCGTGGACTTAACACGTGATCAACTGATGTATGATGATGATGATAATGATGACGATAAATCAAAATTCTGACAGTCAAAACATTTACATGTTTATAGGTCCTTTGTGTAATATTTATACAATTGTGATATCAGTGTAAACCAAAAAACATTCTGTGTCAGTGAGGTCAATCAACTTCTGACTATTTTCTTAACATGAGCAGCAAATTATTGTTATTATTTTTCAGTTTACTAACTCAACAGTACTAGTGTCACTGACGAATGGTAGTGGATGCTACCTGAAACGTCTGACCGTTTCCAAAATCATATCCAGTAGCTTGGGTAACAGTTTTTGGCATATTTTTTTACCTGGATGTCTCACCTTCACCTTTAGTACATCATCCTTCAAAATGTTTCAGTGAAGGTTATTAATTAGAGATTCCGAGTTCTTGCTTATAAACCTGCATTTCTGCACAAGTTCTCTAGTGTCACTTATGAAAGGTAGTGGATGCTACCTGAAACATCTGACTGTTTACAAAATCATATCCAGTTGCTTAATGAGTAACTGTTTTTGGCATATCTTTTTACCTGGATGTCTAACCTTCACCAACATACTAACTCGGCTATGTGAACGTACTTGGGAAAATATACAATGAGCTTGACACAAATTTTACACAAGTCTGTCCACAAAAATCGATTGATACACTGTCAATCAAAATGAAACCATGTTTATATATAGTTCCTTGATGTAATGTTTGTTCAATATTAAATATGAAATATTATTGTAGATCAATATATCCGAAAGCAACGTATAGCCTAGTTCTGATGGTTCTTTTTATTTGCTGGAATAAAAAATCATTGCTGTTTTTTTTTTCGCTTCTTATTTTTTCATAATTTTAGTTGACCTACTAAGTACACAAATTCATATATGAGACTTACTAGGAAAACATCTTAGAAATTGGATGAGATGTTGTCACTTTTCCTAATGGAATCTTCAAATTAAAACTAGACTAGTAACCCAATTATGTCTGGTAACATAAATATTGCTGTGCGGTACAGATTAGTTATAAAGTGACAGGTTGAGTCTTATTTGGGCTAATCTATTCAGTTTGAACAAATAAAAGTATAACTGCTGGAGCTTAATACTATATAGTATTTTTTTAACCATTGGAAATGACACAAGGCAGTATCTATTACTATGCAGGGCTGGAAATACTGGGTGCATGTGCACCTTAGACTAAGTGCACGCAAAATTGGAGCTGTACGTATGTGCACCCAATTTTTTTCTGTGGGTGCAAGTATTTTTTTAGGTATTTTTGTACATATCAAATGTATAATAGTATGCAGGATATTCTTAGCATTTAAGTGTCAGAAAAATAATTAAATCTTTGTTGTATATGTAAGTTAGTGCCCATTTCAGATTCAAAAAAGAAAAGAAGTAAGATCTGTAATTAGGTTTTGCTTTATATCATGATGCACCCAAAAAAATTTTTGTGAACCTAATATCTTAGCTAGGGTTCACCAGTGCCATTCCCAAAAATGAATTTTGAGCCCTGTAATATGGTGCAATGTACAAACTCAGCTAGCAAGCAACTACACTCAGGCAAATTGACAGTATACAAAAGGGTACAAAGTCTGAATCGAAATGCAGCTAGTAGGTCAAACTCCAACAAGACTTAAATTTTTCACACTTGTGTCTTAAAAAACATTGATGTGATTTTTATCATTGTTGTCTTTGACTACAATATCCCATATTTTTAGTAACTGCATCCAAGAATTTTGTGAAAAAAGTTTGTGGGGTCTAGATCTTCTGATACTGGCAACTAAGCAATGTCAGACAGGACTAAGTACCAGTAAAACCAAAAGTAAA